GGCTGCTGCTGCTCCTTCTCTCCGGTCCCCGTGAATTTGGCCTCGGCGCAGAACCACAAGTGATCAGAGAGCAGGACTGTGAAAAACAAGAGCGATGCCAGGGACAGTCGCCATTTCTGAGCCCTCTCTGAATCCGTGAAGGGTTTCTCGTTCTCCCGGGGTGCAAACCAGATTTTTAAGCCGTCATCATACTGCCGACTGCACATCCAAGCACCCCTGGTCATATTTTGGGAACGCACAGCCCTGGCCGACTCCACCGTGAGGGCTCCTTTGCCAGTGTCACCACAATATGCATTGACTTAAAAGATTGGGGGGATTTTCTTGCCTTCCTTCCCTTCTCTCCTCTCGCTCGCTCGCTCTTTCTTCCACTCTCCCCCTCTCTCTCTCTCTCCCCCTCTTCTTTCTTCTTCTTTTTCTTCCTCTGAGATATCGTTGGGTTTCGCCGGTGGCTCTGCCTTAGTCTCACCACACGAAGCAGCCCCAATCCATTCAACACGGAGTGCCGTGGAGAAGATAAGAGCAATAACGCAGAGAGAGAAGGAGGGAGAGGAGATGGTGGTGGTAGTGGTGATAGTTGGTGGTGGTGGGGCTGCTCGGCTGGTCCTTTCCCCCTCTCACCCAGGCATGGTCAGATCGCAGCTCCCCATCTCCCTCCTGGGAAGAGCCCGCTGCCCCTGGACAGCTGCATGCCGCGTCTCCCGCTGCCGACGGACGGCTCCAGGAGACCTCCTCGCCTCCTCTTCCTCCGCGGCCCCCCTCCCCCGGCCCGGAGCCGCGGCACAGATGCCTGCACCGCTGTCTCCGTCTCCTCTTTCTCCTCTCCCCCCTCCGCTCTAACTGGAGAGACGCTGCTGCAGGGCTCCCGGAGCGCTGCCGAGGATGCTGAAGAGGAGGAGGAGGAAGAGGAAGAGGAGGAGGAGGCTACCGGGGCCGCCGCTGCCGATGGCCACAGGCATCTTGGGCCCCTGGGCTAAGTTGCCGCCATCTTCGTCCTGGAGAAACACTTTTTTGGGGGGAGCTCTGCCTTTTGCGTCATCTCCTCCCGCGCCGAGATCTCTCTCTCCTGGCGCATTGGCAGCAGCAGCAACTCTGCCTCCTCCTGCCTGAGGAGGAGGAGGAGAAGGAGGGGGAGGAGGAGGTGGGAGAGGCACTGGGGACCACATGGCCCCTCCAAAGGGCCTCCTCGGTGCTACTCTTTCCACTCACCTCCTTGCTTCCCCTCTGAGAAGAAGCTGCTCAGAACTGCCCTTCAGCCCCTCTCTCCTTCAGGGTCTTCGTCTTCCCTTTGTGGCCTCGAAACATCACCTTCACGCAGGATGGCGGCTAGAAAGATCTGTCGCTGTGTCTATCCTTGTCATAGCAAATAGCAAACAGCACATCAGACTCCAAGCACTGGGCAACAGCTGGATCCTGACAGGTTTTGGCCCCACAGTTAAAATCCCTGAGCACGGCTGCTCATCTTTCAATCAGCAAACCGGAGAACAAAATCTCCATAAACCCTAAGCCAAGAGAAGTTCTGCAAAACCCAGGTCTGGCACATGACCCAGGTAAATGCAGTCAGTCTTTTTTGCTTCAACTCTCAGATGCCGCTGTCTGGAGAGAGAGAATAAGCTTAACTCTCCTGTTGATGACAACCAGATTACTTGTGGTCTCCTTTCAGACCCACAGCAGAGATCTGGCCCCTACCCTAACAGTCTCTTGCTTAAATAAATGTTGCTTTTAGTTCACTTCAAAAATACCTTAACCTTACTTACTGATGCACTTTAATGGAAGAGCAGCAGAAAAACTTGGATCTCGCATAAGACAGCTGAAGCCATTGAACTTTACTGTTGAAGACTGCTGGAGCTTTCAGTAACGACCCTCCTCCTGAGCCGTCAGGTGTGCTTCTGGTCACAGCATAACCAAAATACATATTTTCATTTCCCCACTGGTTTAGGGGAACACATAGACATCATACCAATCCTCATTCCTGTGGCTTTCCCCATCCTAAGGAGGGAGACCATTTAGAACCAGTAATGGCCCTCAAACCAGATTCACAATGCACCCCACAAAATGCTGCTTTTCCTCATCACTTGGTCAAAGAAAAAAAATATTCATTAACAAGCCTTAGGAGCATAGTCTGTAAGAGGAGATATCTGGCAGCTGAGGGTTCCCTAATTCAGTATCAAAAGACATAGTGGGATGAAATCAGAAACTAACCACTTCAGAGGAGGAAAAAGCCTGCACCTTTTCTGATTGCACCTGTCACTAACTAAGGGATGAGTTTACCAAGGAATGTGCTGGATTTTCCATCTCTTTAAATAATGAATCAAGGTTGGATGTCTTTCAAAAAGATGGAATACCTCTAATAGAAGATGCAGACTTGAGGGAGGAATTACTGAATGAGGTTTTATGCCCTGTGTTATGCTGTGGGTCAAAGCACATTATCATAATGGTCTCATCTGGCCTTAAAGATCTATGAGTCAAATTCTGTACTAAGTAGAAGTTATGTGCAGATTTTATTTTGATAGGCTATTTAAAGATACAGAAATGAGTGCTAATATTATAAGAAAATTCCACAGTACTCAATCAGAATGCATCCTTGCAATTCTCAGTCAATCAGCTCACACCATCTGCTAATGGTACTTTATTAATCTCAGTCCTGGAGCTTTGATTCCAATGATTGGACATACTGGGGCCCATATTGCATCTGCATTTTTGCAATGCTTTCTGTACTGGGAGATGATGGTGACTGAGCTTTTAAAAGACAGTCAGACTAGCTTACCCTCTCTGACATGCGGTGTCATCTACTTAATTGTATTTTGCTTATTTGTTTGCTTATTTATTTATTTTATGGTGAGATGGAGGGACTGAAACAAAGCAAAATAATTAAAAAAAAAGGATCAAAATCTGGAATAAGCAACAGGTTCCTGATAACTGATTTGAGATTTGCAGAATATACTACATTAAGATGTGTGGCATTGGTATACTTATTGTCAGATTTGGGATGAAGGAAACCAGTTTAGGACTCTCCATCAGGCAAAAGGGCTTGTTTTTTTTTTTTTTATATATTGTTGCCCTCTGGAAAGCGAGAAGGTAATAGGCACTTTTGCCATTCACAAAAGACTATTAAGAACTGGTAACGAAAAATGCTGCTATATAGGCCCTATGCAGACCATATCCAGACCTGACCCAAAATTTAATATAAGAATGAATTGATAAAGAAGTCTGTGTTTCTCTATTTACGCTTGTCTAGAACCAAACTCCCAACCAATCTGCTAGGATTTTTTAGATATACTTGGCTTCCCTAAAACATCCACTTGCATGGCATTCGATATTTTCACACATTTCCCAACTTTTGTCTGGAAAATAGAGTGAGAGTTATTTTCCAACACCTAGTGATAAACTATGAGAAGCCTGCAGCAGCACTCCTGAAATGTGTGTGTCCTTGCTTTTCCAGTCACAGTTTTCTGTAACAGAGAATGTGTCATGCAGAACTGTTGTTTCGTCTGCTATGTTTCCCCCAAAGCCCCATTCCCTCTCCACCTAGCACAGTGAATAACTTATACTGTTAGCTGCAGCAGCTGGTTCCTGATGGATCTGAACAGATGCAGTTCAGTTCTCTAGTGCCCCTTAGTGTTAGGTCTTGGAGCTCAGGGGAAAAAAAAGAAAGTAAAATAGTATCTGAAAGTCAGGAAGTTTGATCAGGAATCATATGTGGTAGGGGAAAGCATCCGAAGTATATAGTGTGACTCTTCTTTCTCAAAGCTCCTTTAGCATTTTCTATCAATCATAACCTGATCTAAAGAATGGATGTTTTTTGAGCTAGGTTATTTAATTATATGAATGCAAGGAAAGGGACAAACTTTTCTCAAAAATTTCATTACAAAAGTATGTAGCCATATTCATCATTCTTCCTAAACACTCTAGTAGCACAATGTACTGGCTTCACTCTGAAACGACACTTTTTATTGGGAATATGTGTTACTCGTGTTCCAAAACTTGACAAGTGCAAAGAATTTTTTCTTCCTAGCTGGCAGGGTCAACAGATGTTCCACAAACTGATCTCCTTAAAGTAGCTCCCTTTAGCATACATTAGCTCAGCCACAGAGCGCTTCAATCAGTGCAATGAGAATCTGTGTTAATTCTTTCTTTGACTACTAATTTGCAAGATAGCTAATTTACAAAATACTGTGAGAACAAAGTCCAACAGAATGAGAAATGCACAATTTTTGAGAGACTTTAAGCAATTGCTTAATCTAAATACCATGTATTTTTGTAGTGAAAACAATTTAGCTTAACAAGCAAAAATAATTCTTGACATAATATGTTAATGGGTAATAAAGGCTCATCAAAAGAGAAGACGTTAATGTTTCAAAGTAAATGTTCTTAAAATTTTGCCTAATATCATACCTACAGTAATTCATACTTTTTTTGCATTGGTTGCTTGCTTTTCTTTGCTTTTTTTTTTTAGAAACTTGTGAGCTCCAGAAGATCACATATAGGTCTTTCGAACGATTTAAAACAAGTTTGAGAGCAATGCCTTGTCTTTATAAAATGCATATGCTTATAACTGGAGGCTTGCAGAGCAAAAATATATTTTCTAATTGCTAAGCATTGATTTTTGTAAAATCTTGCAGCAGGTTAATTTTAAAATAGATTTTATTTTTGGGTTGACTGGTTCTACTGATAAGAGGAGTGATATTGCAGCAATTATTAAGAGATAATCAGCTAAGCCCTTGCATTACAGCGGTATTCAACATTTTTAATATTAAAAAAAAAAGATCAGGCCTTTATTAGTTCCTCCTACTTTTCTTTTAAAGGGTGAACTAATTTATATTTAATAAGAATATCTATAAATTCATTGCAGGCAAAATGATATACCGGCTATGTGCTTCAGCATCCTCAGTGGTACACTGTTTTTATTCTTTTTTAATTTTGACTTCATATAACCATTTAATAGTTATTTTATCTGCTTACTGTGAAGGGAGACAGATTTAGTTATCTGAATTTGTTTACTAACAAGAGTAATATCAGTGACGGTTGCAAGACTCAAGAAAACTAAGCTGTATTTGTTCTATTCCCCATCACATTTGCAAAGTTTTCCTTTCCCTGTCAGTATTTTTCAGAAAGTTGAAGTATTGCGAGAAAGTTCCAGGAATCTAGGCCTCATTCCCTCAGAAAAGGGAGAATTTATAATAAAGTTAGCAGGCATGAAGCTACTAATTCCTGTTTCTACCGGTCTAATTCAGATTTTTAGGTTTTTTTCAGTCTCCTTTACTCCTGCTTTCCGCATTACACTCAATTTTGTCTTTTTGGCTTGAAGTTTTCAAACTTTTCTTACTAAATTAGATGATTATCTATCACTCAGTAATAAAAGTATGTCAGACTGGTTTTTATAAGTCTACAGTACAAACATGGAAGATATTCATGTGATTAGGTTGACTGAATCATCTTGCAGATGTTTGCTCTGTATCCTGTGAGACTTCTTGTTGGAGAATGAGAACACGTTTTTGTTTGTTGACATTTTCAGAGACAGAACAATGAATGGATAATATGGAGTCTAGAAGTCCACTGTTTTCTCTCCAAAAATTGTAGGCCATCTTTATCATGACATTTTTATAATGAGAGTTCAGTCATAGTATTACATCCAGCTGTTATATTTGGGCATGAGCTGAAACGAGCAGCGGCTGTTCTTCATTAACTGAAGCCACCGAACAAGTGAAATATAACTTTTGCACATAACTGCAGCAGGAA